AATTCTGGGGATATCATCTGAAAAAAGACTGTTTTCAGGAAACAGTCTTCCATCTGTGGTGATTTAAAAAATATAATTCTCAAATTGCATGTAGGAAAGAAAGTAGCAATACGGATGCAGGAAGAGCATGACCGTGGATAAAAAGATGTGTGTTCACATGAACATGCAGAACTGAGAACTTAGGTTAAGTTACAGCAAGATAATGGTAGGTACTATGGTTTGAATGTGTTCCCCAAAGTTCATGTCTTGGAAACTAAATCTTCAATGCAACAGTGGAGGCTTTAAGAGGTGATTGGGTCATGAGGATTCTGCACTCATGAATGGAATAATGTCGATATCATGTGAGTAAGTTATTGCATCTTGATAAAAGGATGCATTCTGACCCCTTTCTTTCTCATGCACAGACGCACTCTCTTTCCCTTCTGTCTTCCACACCATGGGACACCACAGCAAGAAGGCCCTCTCCAGATGCAGGCCTCATGACTTTGGACTTTCCAGCCTGCAAAGTTGTAAGAAATAGATTTCTGTGCTTCATATAAAAATTATAACATGCTTGATGCTTTATATGGGCTTCTCTTGCCACCCTTTACAGTGACTTCATAAGTCAATCATTATTGCTTCTATTTTATAAATGAAATAATTATGGTATAAATAGCTTGCCCAAGATCACATAGCTTGCCCAAGATCACATAGCTCATAGCCAGTGGGCCTTCCATTGAAATCTGTTAGGCTGTAAATTTTGTGCTCTTTTCATTAGACCATGCAAGACTTTGTGTATCTTCCCTACTAAGGAATTTCACAGAAAGAAGACATCCTTGTTCATAGTAGTTAGAAATGGCATAATTGAGGCACCTTTTCAAGGGGAAAGGCAAATCATAAAGCTGAATAACCTCAGAAGAGGTTACAGTGAACCTTATCAAGGACCTAGATATAATTATCAGTTTACACGAACTACAGGGTACTTTTAAATGACATCACCAGCATGTAGCAGCAAATTCAGATCACAGAATACGCTATAGGACACATGACCTGATTTCTTCAACAAATGCATTACAAGGAAAAAGAAAGAGAAAGCATAGATTTAAAATGTGCTAAGAGACATATCAGCCAAGTACAATGCTTGGGCTTTTGGCCTGATTTGAACAGAACATAAAAAGAAATGATGAAATGATGGGCTTAAACACTTACAGGAAGTTTGATGATGTTAAGAAATTGCTGTGACTTTGTTTTAGGTGTGATAATTGTAGTATAGTTGTGCTTTTTTTTTTTTTTTAAAGAATCATTATATTTAGAAATACCTACTGAAATATTTTGTATGTAATGATGTATCTTGTTTCACTTCAAGGTAATTGAGGGAGGGAGGCATTAGATAAAGGTCTATATAAATAATACATGACAATGTATTGATAATTGTTTAATTGTGTGAAGGGTATGGGGGGATTATTACAATATCCTCTCGATTTTTTTACATATTTTTCAGCTGGGCATGTTGCCTAACGCCTGTAATCCTAGCACTTTGTGAGGCCCAGGTGGGCCGATCACCTGAGGTCAGGAGTTCAAGAGCAGCCTGGCCAACATGGGGATGGTGCTAAGCCATTAATGAGATATTCACCTCCCACCTGGCCCCACCTCCAACAATGAGGATTATACTTCAACATGAGAGTCAGGCGGAAACACAGATCCAAACCATCCAAACAGAGGCAATAGAGACTATCTGGTCTAATTGTCTTGCCGCCGCCTGAACCCCCTTTGTGGAATGTCAGTTATATAAAAGCATGAACCCATTCACTCTCCCACTCTTTTAAACTTATTTTTCTTTTTGAAGTTTAGTTTTTTTTTTTTTTTTTTTTGTCATCATGGTGAAGAAAAGAAAGCTTAATTTCCTTGGCAGCACTGTCTTGGAATGGGAAATCTTTTTGGTATATGGCATTGCAAAGCTTAAATCTTTCATGTGTAAAAATTATGTAGCCCTCATTTTTCATTTTCAGGGGAAGCATAAAGATTTCATGATCCATTTAGAATTAATTTAAACTGACATAATTAAATAAATGCTGAAATGTTTGATTATGAGTTAAGTTGATATAGAGTCTAAATTTATTTTTTATATTTATTAATTTTAATCTTTTTTTTTTTTCTGAGACAGAGTCTTGCTCTGTCGCCCAGATTAGAGTGCAATGGCACAACCTTGGCTCACTGCAACCCCCGTCTCCCAGGTTCAAGCGATTCTCTTGCCTCTCAACCTCCTGAGTAGCTGGATGACAGGCATGCACCATCACACCTGGCTAATTTTTGCATTTTTAGTAGAGACAGTGTTTCCCACATTGGCCACGATGGTCTCGAACTCCTAACATCAAGTGATCCACCCACCTTGGCCTCCCAAAGTGCTGGGATTACAGGTATGAGCCACCATGCCCGGCCTTTAGTATCAATTTATAAGTTAATTGTAAAATTCTGGAGATAATTCACTGTAAAAAGGTCTTCAGTATGAATTAAACTTTAAAAAGTCTTTTATCTGAGCACATTGGAGTTATTTGGCTTTGCAACCAGCATTCTTATTTCATACTTATTGACTGTTGATTACATAAAGATCTAAGGGAAGAATACGGTGTCGATTAATTAATTAAAGGCAGTTATTAAAAGGAAACAGTATCATGCTAAGCTTAATGGTGCTGGGTTGGCCCCCGGGCTCCTTTTCCTTGGGCCCAGTAACTGTCACCTGTAAGCCTCAGTGTACTCAGATGTAAAATGGAGACAATTTCTGAGGTCAGGAGTTCAAGACCAGCCTGGCCAACATGGGGATGGTGCTAAGCCATTAATGAGATATTCACCTCCCACCAGGCCCCACCTCCAACAATGAGGATAATTTCAGTCCCTACCTTCCATAAAGTTGTGAGAGATTTCATGTAATACTGCATTCCTGGCAAACAGAGTATGCTCTACATGTACTAGCTCTTGTTCATTCCTGTGACTCCTATGTGTATTATAACAATAATATGGGCTGGGTGTGGGGGCTCACTCCTATAATTCCAGCACTCTGGGAGGCCAAGGCAAGAGGCTAGGTTAAGGCCAGGAGGTTGAGGCTGCCGTGAGATTTGATTGATTTCACTGCTCTCCAGCCTGGGCAACAGAGTGAGACCTGACTCAATAATAATAATAATAATAATAATAATAATACAGGCACCATGCAGCAGCTATGGAGGAAGTGGAAGACAGGGCCCAGGCTTCTGGCTATCACCTGAGTTGAAGAGCAAGCACTCGCTCTGCACGGCACTTGCTATGTCTGAGTTCACGTGTGTCGAGGTGAGAAGCCAGGTTCTGCGCGGCCTCCAGCACCAATCAGCCACACCAAGCCTGCAAGTCCCTGAAAGGAGACTTTTGTTTAATATGGAATTCCATATGTTTTAGGGCAGGAAATTGAAATAGTGTCTCTGAAAATGATGAAAGAAGGGATTTTGAACATGCATACATGTACACATTTTAGGTAGCAGTCAAGACACGTTTAGTCACAGAAGCTTACCAAATTTTAAGGACTGCAATTTTTTTTAAAAGAGGATACCAAAAATGTATCTGGACCTCTGCCTTTAAGTAAACATAATTGACAGCACCCCTTCTGGCTGAATGTGACCTTGGCATATGATTTTGTGTGCCTTTCCAATGGTTTTCAGGATTTGTCTTTTATTTTTTTTTAAAAAAAACATATATATATACAATTGCAGGAGGAGTAGGAAGCTATTGCCCATTCTAGATACCTGTCATTTGTTTTTGCAACGTCTTGTAAGAATATACTTCATAGCCAGGAGCCATGGCTCACACCTGTAATCCCCACCTGTAATCCCGGCACTTTGTGAGGCCAAGGTGGGTGGATCACCTAAGGTCAGGAGTTTGAGACCAGCCTGGCCAATATTGTGAAACCTCGTCTCTAAAATACAAACATTATCCGGACATGGTGGCGGGTGCCTGTAATCCCAGCTACTCAGGAGGCTGAGGCAGGAGAATCCCTTGAACCCGGGAGGTGGAAGTTGCAGTGAGCCAATATCTCACCACTGTACTCCAGCTTGGGTGACAGAACAAGACTTCATCTTAAAATATGTATTTATTTATATATGTACACACACACTTCAGGATGGTTAATACTTATGATGTTCCCGATTTGTAGGCTCCGTCAGCTTTGTCATGCAGGTGGGAACTTCTTTTGGGAATTGTCAACATTGACCCAGTGGCCAATAATAAATGTGCTGAGCCTGTCTACAAATGCAGCTTTCATCATTTATGGCCAAAATATGTTTACCTTCTTTTAATATCTGGTTGATTCCTAGTGAAGCAAGCATTTTATGCATACATGAATGCAAAACATAACAAAAAGGTGTATAATGCAATCCACTTGTTAAAGAAAAGACCAGTTGAAGTAAGAACAGGTCTATGTCCTTGGCAAGGTTGCTAACTTTCCAATCGAGACATATCTTCCCATTATGTTTTAGTTCCACATCTTAAATGTTGATTCAGGGACACGTCACACAGGTTGCTAGAGGAAGCGTTGGTTTTATTATTCAAAGAATGTTGGGTTTTGGAAATGACACAAATAACAATTGACCAGCTAGTTTGCCTCGAATTTTTACTTTAGTTTTGTAAAATATATCAAAACATAGATGGTGTCGGTAATTGCCAATTATTATCATTTCATTTTCTAAAGTGCTTGGCACTGCTGTCAAGGCTGGATGATATTGCTCACGGAAGATGTTTCTGAGAAGCGCATAAATGAAGGGCTTTAAAAAAGCAGTGAGGTGGAATAGAAATGGCAGATAAAGGGAAACACATTTTCTGCATTTTCGAATGATTTATCACATAGTTGGGCCATTGCACGTTATATTTATTAGAACGACCACCCCGCATTTACTTTTCTTTTGGAAAGTCTTTCTTGTAAACTGTTGGTGCATTTGTGATTGTGTCCTGATCTGCCAGGGCTGGGCGCCGAGCGGAAAGTGCGCAGCCGCGAAGTGCAGTCAACGCCGGCAGGAGCGCGGGGCGCAGGGCCAGGGCCCGCCTCCAGGGGGCGGTGTGCGTCCTTGGCGCCGGAGCACCTGCGTTTCGGGACCCGGGCAGGTGTAGGGGTCTGCGCTCGGCTCCAGGCCTCCTGCGGGTAGGGATGCTTCATTGACAGATTTGGGCGTCCTCCCCTGAATGTCATCGCGGGCGTGCTCAGCCAGCAGCCAGCTTCAGAGGCAATGGCTGTGTGTCGTGGGAAGGGGAGAGAGAAGGAAGCGGAAGAGAGAGAGTTGGAAAGACTAAAGGATTAAGTGGTCACGTCTTTTGCCATCCCAACCTTAAGCTGCAGTGTTTAAGGCCTCGTCTGCCCTGCTAAGGTCACAACACTTTTTACTTTACGTGAAAAAGAGAGGTACAGGAGCTTCAGTTCTGAAACCAATGAATGGTCTTAGAGCCCTCAACGAGCCGTCACTAAAGTATCTGGGTCACAGTTGTAGAGGAAGTGAGAAGCGTTTTTGAACCCATCTGAAATGGCTTCATGGAGGGTAAATCTCAAGTTGAATATTTAAAAGGGAAAGCCTGTGGTTTGGCCAAGAAGAATAAATGATATATTCTAGATCCACGTGAAGTGACTTGGTTTAGGAAAAAAATAATTCATAGGGAAAGGAACAGCGCAGAGGGTTCTGCGGTCTGTCGCCCAGGCTGGCTTGCAGAGAACGAAATTCAATCTAGTTAGTTTAAGCAGAAAGGGATTTGTGGCAGGATATTAAGTGGTTTACAGACTCGTTGGGAAGACTGAAGGATCAGATTCCAGACTGATCTTTTAAGAACACAACCCAAAGCCACCCTGAAGAACTAAAGAAACTATTGCCTCTCCTCGAATTCAGCAGAGTAGGGAAACAGTGGCCACAGCTGCTAGCTCCAGAACCATGCCACCTGCCCGGGCCGGGAAGCCACCCAGACAGGCAATTGACATAGTTAGGAAACTCTCCCAAGCAGAAAGCTGCTTCTAGTGCTGCTAGCTTCCAAATCATGACACCCCTGGTGTAACCCACACCAGCAAGTAGGTTCCCTGGGCAGTGCATTTTAATACTCCACAAAGCCAGTAAGTAGACACTGAGACCTCTCCTCACGCTTTCACAGAGAAGCTAGGTACCTTCACAGTGGCGCTTGTCAGCAGAATATTAGAAACATACTTTCCTAATCCTGCACTAATTTGCCTGAATAGTGGAATCTAAATCACTGTAGACCCTAAATGCAAGGGAGTTGGGGAAACATAGTAAAAACTAGCATCCCAGCTCCTGCAATACGTGAAGACATGCTAGGAGGATATCAGCATGGTTGCTGGGTGACTCAATCCACAGCACTCATCACAGTCCTCTGCCTGTTAACTAAACTCCCATACACTCCCCTCTTCTCATATGTACACTTCCAAATGGCAATGATTCCCCATGCAATAAAAAATGGAACTCACTTTCTTCCCAAAGCGGGGAAGTGCCATGAGCCACTGCATCCTGTTCTCATGAAGGTTCTGTGTTCTAGATTCTGTTCTGGTGTTCACTGAAGTTCAGTCATAATCCTACCTTGATATCTTATAACCCATAGACTGAATTGTATAAAACACATCCATGTTATATAAACACATCCATCTTATATAAAACACATCCAATATAAAATGTTAAGGGAAAGAGGGAGAAAACATATAAATTGACTAGGCTAGAGAAAAGAAGGAAAAAATAATGCTATTGCAGTCCTTATTTTTTCAAGAATCGTGGTTGCTTTATTCTACGATGTATTTCCTTTCACCCCACCGACAACTCTGCTGGTTAGAGCTCTTTATCTAGTGGAGTGATCTAAGTCTTTTTTCCTGACAGGTCCTATTTCTGTGTGGTCTTTCTTGTATTGAGATACTGTAGTCTTCCACCAACTCTGTGATTGGACATACAGCATTTGCCTGTGATTTTCCTTGAGGGGTTCTGCAGGTACCATCATATTCTGAGTGACTTAGACACTTCCAGCACTACTAGATCTGTTACAGATCCAAGTGTGGTAAAACTGCTTGCATGTGACCTGAAAAATTTGCTCTGTTTTTTTGTTTTTGTTTTTTTAAGACAGAGTCTTTCTCTGTCACTCAGGCTTGGGTGATACAGTGGTGCAACCATAGCTCACTGCAGCCTTGAACTCCTGGGCTCAAGAAATCCTCTTGCCTCAGCCTCCTGAGAAGCTAGGACTACGTACACCATCATGCACCCAGCTAATTAAAAAAAATTTTTTTTGAGACGGTGTCTTGTTATGTTGCCCAGGCTGGTCTCAAATTTCTGAGTTCAAGTGATCCTCCTGCCTTGGCCCTCACAAAGCGCTGGAATTATAGGCATGAGCTACCATGCCTGGCCTGCCCTGGGATCCTCTCAAAGCTGGCAGACTCATGGGTTATTCAGAATAGGGGTCAGAGCTGCACACACACACACACAGACACACACACACACACAGACACACACACATACACACACACACACACACACACGGTATATATTGGTTCCCCGGTAGAGTTGTATCAAGTGCTATAGCTCTTTATTAGCAGTAGGGGGTGCAAAATTCAGAGAGAGATATCATTGCTCACTGGATCACTGCGCACAGCAATTCTGCCGAGAGAGCAGCTCTTGAATTCTTGTGGCACAACATTCCACGCTTTGGCACAATCTAGGCACATAATGTACTTGTTCCCGCTCACTAGGTGCAATAAGAATATTACTAATGTGTCCTCTGGAATGGTGACGTGAACACGGTTCCCTGCAGATGTAACTGGGAGAGAAGGCAGAGTCCTGCCACAGGGTAAGACTGTGGAGATGTATTCTAGCTGGCCCTACCAGGTAAAAGAATATTGCTTTTTGTGGTTTTGTTGAGAAAGAGACAACAGATTTACCAAATTAATAGCTGCATATTGGTGCTCGGGCTGTGTTGATTTGCTGTAGTCATAAAACTACGTCTAGAACAAGAGCTGCAATTGAAGCCATCTATTGACTAAATTAACAGTGAACCGTCATTATCCTCCTACGGCCATATGTGTTCTACATAGGTCAAGCAGCGGAGTTAAGTGGGTGTCATAGGAAATGTCATCTCTACAACTTTCAAGTGTTCGGCAGTTCATTCAGGGATGTGATGATGATAACTCTTGTTAGGAAGAAGTAGGGTCTCCCAGGGTGTTCCACTTGATCCTTTTTACCTAAAAAGTCCTCACTTCCTGGGCCAGGGATGAGTGTAGGGATTCGGTAGCTGGGGTGTTTCTGCATGCATTCATAGAGTTTCTGCATAGAGAATGCTCTGCATTCAGAAACTCAGGAAGTGGAATAGGATAAGTTTATAGACCTACAAGTTACACCATGAGAAGCACTTGAGCCAAAACTCCACTTACCCCTTGACTCCTGTAGCCCCAACTCTGAAAGCAGAGTTCAAGCGACTGTTGTGTCACCTCTTGCCACGCAGCACCAGGGTCCCACCTTCCAATGCAAATGAGACCTTCTGTGCTTCACGCCCAGCCAAGTCAGATAACTTAGTGGACTTCAATTTGTTTTCTCCATATACTCCTGAAGACAATTTAGAAAAATAAAATACCCTTCACCCACTATTTAATTGACGTCTCACCTTTTTCTGATACATGTAAATAGTTGAAATGGATCACAGAACATTAGAAGCTTTCAAAAAGCTAACGTGACAAAACTTAAGAAATAGATTTTTTTTTTTTTTTGATGGAGTTTACTCTTGTTGCCCAGGCTGGAGTGCAATGGCATGATCTCGCCTGACTGCAGCCTTTGCTTCCCGGGCTCAAGTGATTCTCCTGCCTCAGCTTCCTGAGTAGCTGGGATTACAGGCGTGAGCTACCATGCCTGGCTAATTTTGCATTTTTAGTAGAGATGGGCTTTCTCCATGTTGGTCAGTCTGATCTCGAACTCCTGACCTCAGGTGATCTGCCTGCCTTGGCCTCCCAAAGTGCTGGGATTACAGGTGTGAGCCACCATGCCAGGCCAGAGAGAAATATTTTTAGTGAAGATCTACCTGATGCATCTCTTATATTTTTGTATAGACTGGCTTCTGGTTGTCTACATTTCCAACCTTATTTCTTGTCTACTGTCCACACATTCATGGTCATGGTCACCACAGAAAATGAATATCACAGCATGACTTCTGGCCCTCAGCACCACGGGCAAAGGGATTATTTCTACAAATCATTTTTACACCAGAGTGGCTAGCAATAACATAACCATATGTGGAAGTTACCGCATCAGTAAATACATCCTGTAAAACCCAAACCTACTTATTTATCCAAATTCAATTAGTGGACTTTCAAAAGCGCCCGTGGACACTGCAATGACACCACACATGAGGACAAGAAAGACAAAGGGGAGTGTAAAAAGAGGTATCAATCATTATGGTTGAAACATCTTACTCTTGCATATTTTACTAAAATATGTGACCCAGAAGAGCCATTTCTAGGCCTTGGAGGTGGCCTGTGCTAGTGAAAACCTTTGAAGATTAGGGCTCATTGGCTTCAGGGTGAATCTGCCTCTGCACTGCCAGTAGGGACATTATGATAAAAATGCCATGTAACTTTGTAGAAAGTGTCCACGGGGCTAAACACTGTAATGACATGTTATTGATCATCATTCGCTTTAAAAATATTTGAACAATCTCTTTAATTTTTAAAAATTTTGTCTTTTTATTCTTTGAACATATATTTCCACTTCACTTTCTTCTCAGAATTCTATCAGAATGTAATGTGTATGTGTATATATACATATATAGATGTTTTTCTGAGACATGTCTCACTCTGTAGCTCAGGCGGTACCGTCACAGCTCACTGCAGCTTTGAACTCCTGGGCTTAAGCCATCCTCCCACCTCAGCCTCCTGAGAAGCCGAGATTACAGACATGCGCCACCACATCCAGCTAATTGATTTTATTGATTTTTGGTTTCTTTTGTAAAGATAGGGGTCTCACTATGTTTCCCAGGCTGGTCTCGAACTCCTGGTCTCAAGCAACTCTCGCATCTCAGCCTCTCAAAGTGCTGTGATTATAGGTGTGAGCCACTGCGCCCAGCCTAATGTATATTTTTTAACAGCTTTATTAAGATATAATTCACATATACAATTCACATATATAAGGTGTACAATTCAATGCCTTTTAATATATTCACGGAGTTTTACATCATGACCACAATGTACTTTAGAACATTTTTATTTCAGAAGAAGCCCTGCACCCCTTAGCTATCACCCTGGCGATTGTTCCATCTCCCCCGACCTCACCCAGTTCTAGGTAACCATTAATCCACTTTCTGTCTGTAGAGCCGCCCACCGCAAACACTGATACGTAAATGGAATCATGCAGTATGCTGTCCTTTGAGACTGCCTTCCTTTAGTTAGTGTCACTTTTTCAAGGTTCATCCTATACTTATGCTTGAAACATTTACTAATCACCCTTTTCTGCAACCAAAAATGTATGTGAATTGAAAGTGTAAAATGTTCTCTATTTCCTGTGACCAAAAGACTTTAGGAGCTTAAAGTATTTTCTGGGTCATGCTTACAATTGTTGTTATCATAATATGCAACTAATGAAAACAACATAAATGTTATAAACATTGATAAAACAATTGGGTTAATACAAAGAGTGAAATTTTATTGGAAATGTATCACTTACATGATGAGTTGGTTTTTTTTTTTTTAATTTTCTCTGTCTCTCCCTCTCTCTTTTTTGAGTTGGGATCTCACTTTGCTGCCTAGCTTGGAGTGCAGTGGTGTAAACTCAGCTCACTGCAGCCTCAAACTCCTGGGCTCAAGTGATCCTCTCACCTCAGCCTCCTGAGTAGCTGGGACTACAGGCACGTGTCACCATGTCTGGATAATTTTTGAAGTTTTTTTGTAGAGATGGGGTCTTCTGATGTTGCCCAGGCTGGTCTCAAACTCCTGGGCTCAGGCAATGCTCCCAGAGTGCTAGGATTACAAATGTGAGCTACTACACCCAGCTGGAATTTTCTTATTTTAAAAATGTAAGACTGAATATACCACTGCCAGAATATACCACTGCCAGAGTATACCAGTGCCAGAATATACCACTGCCAGAATGTACCACTGCCAGAATATACCACTGCCAGAGTATACCACTTACCACTGCCAGAATATAACACTGCCAGAGTATACCACTGCCAGAATATACCATTGCCAGAATATATCACTGTCAGAATATATCACTGTCAGAATATACCACTGCCAGAGTATACCACTGCCAGAATATATCACTGTCAGAATATACCACTGCAAGACTATGCCACTGCCAGAATATACCACTGCCAGAATATATCACTGTCAGAGTATACAACTGCCAGAAATACCACTCCAGAATATACCAGTCAGAGCATATCACTGCCAGAATATACGACTGCCAGAGTATAGCACTGCCAGAATATACCACTGCCAGAATGTACCACTGCCAGAATATACCACTGCAGAATATATCACTGTCAGAGTATACCACTGCCAGAATATACCACTCCAGAATAAACCACTGTCAGACTATACCACTGCCAGAATGTTCTGCCTCGATTCTTTTTCTATTTGTGCTTCACAGGTATTATTGCTGGAAAGCCTGATCACAAAATTAAGGTGATGGAAATGGAAAAGGTTTGTTATAGAAATGTCAGTCAATTCTCCCAATTCCTTCCTCTTTCTCTTCCCCAAATCACCTGACATGTCTTACCCAGGTCCCCACAGGACAGAGACGAGGTCATTACTCAGCCCTTGTCATTACTCTCGCCAGCTCACCGTCATATACCTGAATTCAGAACATCCCAGCATGCACCAAAAGCCAGGTCCCTTCCTCAGCAGAAAGTACCATGAGACAGGGAAAGCTGGAAAGGCAGAGGATGCTGGGGCCTTGCCTGGTTATCAGGACAGGCTTTCCCTGTGGTTGGCATTTGAGGGTTTCTAAACCCTCGTGGAGTAAGTTTAGGAAGGCTGAGGGCTAGTGCTTTCTTTTATAAAGTGTGCTTTTGAACTCTTGCCTTGAGGCATGAATGTATATAGAAGGTGAGGATCTGGAAATCCATTTCTTTAAAATTATGTGTATACATTTGGACCCAGGAGTTTGAAAACCACCCAGTCAAGCAATCTGAGACTTTGATTCCTAAGGCTCAGTCCTACGACCCCTCCTGATACCCGCCTTGGTATTGGTCAGGGTTCAGTTACAGAGCAGAGCAGAAAGGGATTTATTTCAGGATATTAAATGGCTCATAGAATCACGGGGAAGGTGAATCAACAGGCTCTAGCCTGAGCTTCCTAAGGTACTCCTGGAGTCCTATGCAGTGGGGAAGCTTGAGGCTCCTCTCTGATGACTTGGGAAGCTGCTGCTGCAGCCGCTGTATCAGCTTCACCCGATGCAGCTTCACCCGGCTGCTGCACCTGAGCTGGGTGGGGTTTAGATTTCCAGCCTCGTGTAAAAGTCGGCACACCATCCACACCACCAGTGGAGGACGACCTGGCAGGCAGTGAGAAGGTGGCAGGATTTTTTGGAGTGAAGTGACTGAGGTAAGTAGGATGGCCTAGAAGAAGAGGTGAACGCTGGCTGAGTGCTGTGGCTGTGACAGTGTGAAATTCCAGGAGGGAGGCAGGGGCCAAGGGTCACCACAGGACTCAGCGTGCCAGGTTTACCTACAAAGATCATGCAGACCAAGTGTGCATGAAGCCGTGCTCTGTGGGTAAAGAATATGACAGCAGTGTTTGCCAGTCCACTTCACTCACAAGGGGTGAGTTCTATGCCTACTTATTTCCAAAGACTCTGCCAGGTAACTTTGTGATTCTTCAAAAACTATTAAGTGGGCCAGGCACAGTGGCTCACACCTGTAATCTCAACACTTTAGGAGGCTGAGGTGGGCAGATCACTTGAGCCCAGGAGTTTGAGACCAGCCTGACCAACATGTGAAACCCCGTCTCTACTAAAAACACAAAATCAGCTGGGCGTGGTGGTGCACACCTATATTTCCAGCTATTTGGAAGGCTGAGGCAGGAGAATTGCTTGAACCTGAGGGGCGGAGATTGCAGTGAGCCGAGATCACACCATTGCACACCAGCCTGGGCAACAAGAGTGAAATCTCATCTCAAAAAAAAAAAAAAAAGTTAGTCGGGCGTGGTGGTGCGTGCCTCAAGCGATGCAGGAGGATTGCTTGAGTCCAGGAGGTTGAGGCTACCTGAAGCTTTTAACACACCACTGCACTCTAGCCTGGGCAACAGAGTGAGACACTGTCTCTAAAAAATCAAAAATTAATAAAAAATAATTTAAAAATTAAAAACAAAGACCGTAAGTGCCATGAGTTGATTTCTGTTTGTTTTCTCTACAGTTTTATTCCCAGCATAGGAAATACATGCACAAGCGGTGCTTAATAAATATGTACTGAATTAACAGATAAAATGAGGGTGCATGATAAGGACCTAGACTCCTTGGTGGCTCCATAAGTAGGTTTTTCTTTGTATCTGATGACAAGCTGTCAGTCCCAGGATGGTGCCAGACATAAAGTTGGGTCCTTGGAGGGTGATTTTGATAGTGTCTGAGGTCTGCAGAAAAGAGGCAGGTGTTTTGATCACCTACCGACAATGTTCATGACATCAAAGGCCATGACGGTCCCATATGGCTTTAAAACTACAATCTCAACAGCAACAAGAATTTAATGAGGGCTGATTGTGTGCAGGATACTATAGTAAGTATTTAATATTCATTATCTCATGTAACCCTCACAATAGCCCTTGGGGTAGCTTTTATTATTCCTATTTACAAATGAGCAAACGTTTTCTCAGGTAGGTAAGTGACCAACCCAAGGTCCTTGGATTAGAGCCTAGTTGAAGTTTTACATGAGCCATTTACTCTGGCCACAGAATAGGAACATTGGAAGGAAATGCAGAGGACTTGGTGATACAGTTTGGATCTGTGTCCCTACCCAAATCTCATGTTCATGTAAGCTTCCTGAGGGCTCTCCAGAAGCCAAGCAGATGCTGGCACCATGCCTCCTGTACAGACTGCAGAACTGTGAGCCAATTAAACCCCTTTTCTTTATAAATTACCCAGTCTCAGGTATTTCTTTATAACAGTGTGAGAACGGACTAATATGCTTGGGCTCTGGTCCCAGCTCTGCTGCTGCCTGCCCCAGCTTGGTGGATGTCACCAGCCTCTCTCTCGCTCTGCCCACACAGAGATACTGAAATCCAGGTCGGTCAGGAGACCCCCCGCTTAGGGGGGCTGAAGGTATTGAGAGGCAGATGCCCAGATAGCACAACAGAGGGGATCTATCCTGGGGACCAACAGCCTGAGAACCTGCAGGGCTGACAGCTCTCCAGACTGAAGGCCCCGAACAGAGATTCATCCACATATTTATTTGCTCTTTGACAGGTGGTTCTTATTAATACATAGGTATTCTACATATACACATAACTCAGGAATATACCAGGTAGGCAGCTATTATCTGCCTACCACTAATTACAAACTAAAAGTATCTTCCACAAAGGAGCCATGGTGGCAGAGTAAACTTAATGTTCCTCAACACAGAGATGTGTACTTCCCAGCCATTTCTGGAAGACAGTCACGTGGCCAACTCTGCCCAATAGGCAGTGACTGGAGATAATTTGTGCTCTGTGAGGGTGAAGCACTTTGATTGCTGGTTAATTCCTTTTCTCCCACCGTGAGACACAGGAGATACGTGTTCCCCAACCTCCCAGATGAGAAGGCCATGTGCTTTGATGCTGTGGCTATAAGATGGCAGAGCCTCCATCCTAGGTCCCTCATGGGGTTGGAGAGCAGAATTCCATGCAACCCATGTTGGATACCATGTGAGCAAGGGCATCATACGTATGTTGAGGCACTGGGATTTTAGGTTTGTTTGTCACCATAGGTAACCCAGGTTATTGTGACTAATGTACTTGGTCCACTCTTCTTAATCCTCTGCGTCTCAATTTTGCCACCTGTAACTGATGATAATAGTATCTTACAAGTCAGCTATATGGGGGCTGTTAAAAGAGATAAGGGAGGAAATGTTTCCTTCCAGGTCTAACATTCTCCAAAACCATCTAGCTTAGCAATATGGTATGCTCTAAAAATAGAGTTTTCTTCATGGTCATTGTATTATGTGCTTAAGGTCTTAAGATTTGACTCTCACTATTCACAGATTTGATGACAAAGAGTCAGAACTAGAGATGCCCAGGGCTTCCTGCAGCTTTGGGTTGGGATTTTCCAAGGTTTCATCAGAGGTCAATTCTATGTTGTTTTGAGAAAGGGAGTGAGCTGTGTTTTTGTCTCTCCCTACCCTTGTAATGCAAAACATGGGAGCTGTGGACCATTCCCAAAACTTCCCTGTGGGTTATCAAATAGTGACTGCAGGCAGGGCTGGTGTGGAAGATATTTCTAAAGCTCCCTAATATTTTCATTCTCCCCTTCTTGGACGTAAGGGAGGATTACATTTCTCCAACCTCCCAGAGACTTGCTTTGGCTAATGAGATGGGAGTGGCAGGTACACAGGTCACTTCTGGAGGCATGGAGGAGCTGCTGGGAGATCTCTATGTTCTCTCTACCCGCAGCAGTGAACTTGAAGGCTCTGTGGGGAGATGGCCATGAGCTGAGATGGTGAAACTCTGTCAGCCCAAGTCCCTGAATGGCTGAGGTGAGCAGAGCACCCTTCTGCATGTCCCAGCTGTGGACATGCAGTGTGGGCAAGAAGTCAACCATTGTTGTTTTGAGCCATGGAGGTTT